TTATAAATATTAAATACATTTAATACAAATATTAAATATATTTGAAAATATACCTAAATATTACAAGTATATATTATATATTACATATATAGAGAGAAAGATTGAGACAAGTCCAAAATCTTCAGGGTAGAACAGCACACTGGAGACAGTCTGAAGGCAGAATTCTCTCTTCCTTGGAGGAGGTCAGTCTTTTTGCTCTTAAGATCTTCAACTGATTGGATGAGGCCCACCCATACTATGGAAGATAATCTGCTTTCCTGAAAATCTACTGATTTAAATGTTCATCTCATCTAAAAAGTACCTTTATAACAATATTTAGATTAGTTTTTGGCCAAATATCTGGGTACCATAGCTTAGCCAAATTGACACATAAAATTAACCATCACAGATATCTTTCTATCATTTTGTCTGTGGTACTCAACAGATGCTCAGTAAATGATTCTACCACTGGTCTCAGCAGCACCAGGTTTGTGGGCAGTGTAAGTTGCAGCTTGTATCCAAGTGATGAGAATGGAGGGCAGCTCTGATATATTTCAAGAGAAGGCACAGTATTGGAGTTCAGTGCTTCCCAAACACAAACTTGCTTAGGAGGCACCTGGAAATCTTGTTAAAGTACAGATTCTGACTTGGTAGGTCTGACATGAGAACAAAGATTGTCATTTCTAACAAGGGATGCTGATGCCACTGGTCTGTGGGCCACACTTAGGAGAGCAAGGCAGTAGAATTTCTAAAACTGTAATTTTGACAAGATGGATGGGAGCCTGAGTCCCTGCAGAGGAAGAGGAGTCCTCTGAGTTATGATTTAAGGGATAGAAAAAATTGCCTTTAATCTCTCTTTGAAGGCAATGGTTGTCAGACTTTTGTGCCTCACAGTCCCTTGGAAAGTTTATAGAACATAGAGGCTTCACCTCTGAAAATTGTGATGAACTGTGTCTGGTTTAAGGCCAGGACTCCACGTTAACAATAGTAAACCCAGGAGATTATGATGAAGATTTGGGACTATGCTTTGAGAAACACTGGTTTAAATTTTTAGGGCTCAGAAAAAAGTACAAATATATTTTCTTGGAAAAGTTTTTGAGTCACCTGCAACCACATTTTCTGGAAAACAAAGCAAAGAAAAACGAAACAAAACTGGAAGGGTTGGAGAATAAATTTTGGCAAACTTAGAATTTTACTGAGGATGAAGGAATAAATAGTCCTGGGGAATGATGAATCTACAGCTAAATGGAAAAATTTCTTGATAAGACTGGACATCAGTTCCTCTCCTGCTGCAAGGCTTACCCAGGGCAAGGACCAAGAATTGTTCCTAAGACTTTTGCATAGATATAGAATATTTCTGGCTGCTGGTTGTAGTATTTAGGATTGTCTAGCTGTTATATTAAAAATGCTTGAAATAAGTGACTTTACTAAGATTTTAATTTTTCTCATATAAAAGAAGCCTGGCAGTAATTTGTAATGTGGTGTGGCTGGTGTGGTGACTCCAAACAACTCAGGGGCACAGACTTTTTTTGTCTAAGCTTATTGCTTCATGGTCCAAAATGGCTGCTGGAGAACCAGCCATCACTTCTACATCTTAAGCAGCAAGAGAGAGGAAGTGTTGAGAAGGGCATATATTTTAAGAAAACTTCTTCCCAGAAGTCCCACATAATACTTCCCTTTACATTTTAATGACCATACTTATTCAAATGACCAGTTTAGCTGAAGTATGGGAAATGTCTCCTCAACTCCACCCTGTATCTGTATTTTCGGCTAAAACTCAAATGTTCTTTTACAGAGGGAAGGGGGAAAATCAAAATTGGGAGGTAGGTAGAAGTCTCTCAAGGAGTTGCTAGGGGTTAATCAGTCCATAGAGATGGCAGACTGGTGGGAAGGGAAGTAAAGGGCATCATTACTAGAATGACCTAGGATGCAGTGCTCTATGAAGGCAGAAGTTTCACAGCTAATTTTGCAATCACTCTGGCCTTCATTCATTTAAAAAATGTTGATGGAATTCCTTCAGTGTGCCAGACACTACTGTTTGGTGATACAACCGTAAATAAGGTATGGGCTTGTCATTCAGGAACCTAACCTCTAGTAGGAGTTATTGATAAATGTAAAGGCTATTACAGTGTGTCAATTGCAACATTAGTGCTAAACATAGGTACTGAAGTGGCCCATAGGACTGATATCCAACCTGGACTTGGAATCAAGGAAGATGTCCTAAGTGAGGTGAGGGGTACACTGAGAGCTGAGTGGGAAGGAGGAATAACTAGGAATGTGTGCGTGTGTCTGTATCTGTGTGTATCTCTGTGTGCGTCCATGTATGTGTGCACACATGCACATGCCTGGGGGAGTGTTCCAGATGCAGAGAAGTCCCTCGCACTAAATAGGGAAAGATGTTAAAGGGACCTAGTATGGCAGGCTGCAAAGAAAGTTGGCTAGATCCTGACCAGCAATATACTTGCGTATCCATACTAAATTGTAAGCCAATGAGTGTGTGTGCTCCTGTGTACATAGAAAGGTGAGGTTTCCTTAGGTGTAAGACTGAGAGAAGCAATTATTTGCAAGACCATATAGGGAATCATACTTTTAACATTCTGTGTACAAAATAAAATTTATGAGTGATAAAAGATTTTTTTTCACCCACAAGGGATCATGGTACTGACTGTGATGGTATAGTGAAGGGTTGAGTGCAGATGGGGCAAAATCTAAATCTGCAATCTTGAATATTTTACATGCATGTGAGAGAAAAGGCTACAGTAATTGCCCTGGGGTTAATTTTCCAAAAATAGAATTTTATATTCAAAAGGAACCATTGAAACCAAGGACCGAATGTTTTTTTTTTTTTGAAAGATACTGAATTTGAAAAGTGAAAAATTTAGTGCAAAGTGCTTTAATCATTGAGGTTTCTCTGGGCCACTGTGGTAGATCCATCACAAATCCTAAAAACTCAGGTTGAAACTTTAATCATACTGGTAAAACTTAGCCACAACCCCGAAGATGCTGTCATAATTAAGAAGTTTTTGTTTCTCCTAATGGAGTTTGATGGTCTTAGTTTATCAGGAACCTTTGAATTGAATTAACAACACGAAACTAATTAATCCTGGTATACTCTAGCAATCCACTTAGAAGTGGCATGCAAAATTCAATTAAGTCCCTTTGCCTTTTATGAAGCATGCACACTCAAGAAGCTTCGGTTTACAGCTGAGAATTAGGTAACAAAAAGAAAGAGCTTGTCATGTTTTTCAAGCCCAACTTTTGAAATTAGACAATGGGTTTTAGAATTCTTCCCTGATTCAGAAAGTTGGAATCTAAAAGGACAGAACAAAAACCCTCCCTGAGCTAATCAGCCTTTTCCTCTCTTGCTTTTCCTTAGATTAGAAGAGAAAGATGGTGGTATGTGCCTTTGCTTTGCTGGCCCTGGTTTGTCACCAGAACCTTATAGCTCGGGCTGTTTCTTGAATGCTTTTTGCAAACTCTTCTTTTCCTGGCTTCTGGCATGCTCTGTGCTGTCAGTCTTATTGATTAAAACCCTTGGTGGATTTCAAGACCTTCTCGCCCTGTATTGTCACAGATCTATTTAAAATGGATTTTCTCTCTTTGCCAGACCTGCATTTCTCAGTTGGTCGAGCAGATGCAAAGCAGGTGGTACTGAGATTTCAAATAGAAGCTGTTTCTAGTTACTGGGGGGATAAATGCAGCATTATAACTTCTTTTGTTTTCTTGTCTCTTTACATTTTTATTTATCTAAAAAAATTCTTTGTACCTTTCAGTGTATACAATTAATTCAAATAAGTAGCATCTATTGCTTTAATAAAAGAGTATTTGGCAGGGGTAACATCTGAGGCTTTGAATATCTGAGACACAACGTGAGAAAGATGTGATAATGCACCACAAAGCAGAAAATGTTTTGTGTGTACTGCTAGTTACTTCTCCCATATTTATTTTCCCTTTTCCCCTCCCAGCAGCCTTTAGCATTGGAAAACATTCCTGGAATCTGGTGAATTTGATTTCAACCCCTCTAGCTTCAGGTTTGGAACCCATGACTTAGGAGGGGTGCATCAGAACATTTCTTCCCCTGGGTATTTAGGTGGTTCAGGAGCAGTGATCTAAGATGGTGCTATCAGAGTGAATCTCAGGACTTTTGTTACCCAGATAGAGACATGCTTTATGTCTCTTTTTTCAAGATGGAAAGTGCGAAATGAAGTATGTAAGAATGCCACTTTTGCACCAAGAGACAAAGCTAATACATGGAAGAGTCCAGAGGCCAGAGACTGCAGAACAATTTTCAGAGATTTTCTGAGGACATGCTGAACTTCTCGGCCAAAATGAACCTAAAGCCAGAACTATCTATCACTATCCTTTTTAGTTTGGTGAAACAGTGCATGCTTTGAATGTCTAAGCTAGTTAGGGTCAGATTTTATGTTACTTAAAATGGAAAACATTCTAACTGTAAGAGTCAGTTTTTGATGCATAACAAAACACCCCAGAATTCAATGCTTATTTTAAAAAGTTAAATAATTTATTACTATAGTGCAACTGCCTATGGGTTGGTGAGGTCAGTTGATCCAGGCTCAGCTTTGCTGAACTGTTCGGCTCATGTCTTCTGGGCTTGAGCATGAGCCTACTGCAGGTCAGCTAGCTTGTTTTTCCTTCTGAGGATAAACTGTGCTTGAGTCTGAGCTGGGTAAATCATTCTGCCTGGGGCAGCTTCATTTCATGTGTCTCTTATTCTTTTGGACCAGAAGGCTGCCTGAGGCATAATTTTTTTGTGGTATTGTAGAGGCACAAGATGCAAAGCAGAAACATGCACAACCTCTTGAGGCCTAGGCTTCCTACTGGCTCATTTCTGCCTTGTTCTGTGGGCCAAAGCAAATCACAGAAATAAATCCAGTCAAGAGGACAGGAACTAGACTTGACTTCTTTGGGGAAGAAGTGAAAAGTAACATGGTAAAGGGCAAGGAAAGAGGAAGGGGTGAAAAATTGGGGCCAATGATGCAGTCTGCTGTACTAGGTGATATATGACCCATATAATTATTATTATCTTGGCTGCCGGCCGGCGACGTGGCGCTCTTGGGCAGCGGCTGCAGCGGGTGCTCAGGCCGCTCGGCCTCCATGGCGAAGCTGACGGGCCGCAGGAAGCAGATGTCCAGGCTGGACTCGGAAGAGGCGGGCGAGCAGTTCTCGAAGAGGGCCGGGGCCTGGAAGGGCTCCTCGTCGTAGGGCGCGGGCAGCGCGAAGATCTCGCCGCCATACTCGAACTCCTCGTAGGCAGCGGGCACGTAGCCGCGGGCGTCGGGCAGGAGCTCGGCTGGGGCGCGCAAGGAGCGCTCCACGTTGCCCAGCGGCTCGGCCGGCGAGGGCTCGAAGTCCATCTCCGGGATGGCCTGCAGGGGCCCGGCGAGCGCCTTCACGTCCTGCTCGGCGGCACAGAACTGCGCCGGCGCCAGGAGGCTCTCGGGCCTCTCGTGCTTTCTGCCCTCCATCTCCCAGTCACTGGGCTTTCCGGGCTGCATGCTCTCCATCAAGCTTTGCTGCTGTTGGCTTTTCTTCACTGGGGGCATCAAATGCCTTTAAAGGGGAAACAGAACGCAAAAGGTGTGCTCACGGTTTGTTGGTGCAGGCCTCTCACCGAGCAGCGGGGCTGAGAACAACACGCTTCCTGCTAGATACAGTTTAGGGGCAAATTGCCAGCTCCTCTCCTCTCCGTCCCCCGCCGCCCCCAACCCAGGCACCTACAAGTTACCCACCAAGCGCCACTGGCTTCTGCGATTACGGAGTTCCTACGAGCCCTGGTCCCCCAAGTGGGAGAGTGAAAGTGACCATCTGTGAAGGGGATGCCAGAAGTACCAGTCTGGGCGAGGACGCACTGCGTAGAGATGGCTGGTAGGCCAAGGTGCTCTTCATTCCCTGTGTGGAAGCCCTGACCCTCCCTACCACGTGTCAAGGCCCCAATGCACCCCTTTTTTCCCTTTCATGCCCTAGTAGAGTCATGTAGAATAATGGAAACAACTTTTGTTCAACTCATGGGTCTTAATGCTTAAGAACAATTAGATTGGCAGATGAAGGAAGTGGGGTACAATCTTGATGACTGTTGAATGTGGATGATGGTACGTGAGATTCACTGTACATTTTACTTTTGTGGATGTTTGAGATTTTCATAATAAAAAACAAATGACTTGTGGCCATAGAGCATGCTGTATCGGTCATCTCAAACTTCCACCCACAAAAGCATTACTAAAGTAAAAGACTGTCACTCTGAATATACCCAACTTCATGGAGGGTTTTTTTGTTTAATCATGGATAAAGAATAATTTATATAGCATACCCATTAGATTGGGTGTGATTTGCCAGTTCTACTATAATTTAATTGCCAGACAGATGTGAGTAGACTACTAGATACTGACCCAAACTGGTTATTGTGCTACGTTATTCATACTTGATTCTGCCACAAAAATGCATAAGGAATGAAGATGTAAACGCTAACCTCTGGTGGTCCCAGGATGAAAATTAGGTCTCACGTTTACAGAGGTAAAAAGCAATATTGACTTGAATTCTCTCAACTTGTACGATTGTTACTGGGTTTTTTCCTGGCTGTTTCCCCAAGGCAGAGTGCAACAGCCTGGGAAAGCCTTGTTCAGCCTGGATATAATCTCTCGGGATTCATTTTTTGGCTGTATTTGTCTCACTTCAAAGAAGATAGTTTTATCATTGTCTTAACTGCTAAAGTGATCCCACAAAGTAAAATTCTACTTCCTGGAAATGTATTTTTACTGTGTGAAGTTCTCTGCCTACGGGAATTCTACGATTTTTTCTATAGGAAGAAAATCATCCTGGGCTCTCTTTATAGGAAGATTAATGTCTCATGGGTTTTCAGAATGATTATGAAATTTCTCCCTCCTGCCTCTACACATTTGCACTTCCATCCCTCGCTCTAAATGTTCTGTTTTAAGAGATGAAGGCAGAAAGGAAACAGGATTTATTTTGTATTATTGATTAGTTGTTCCTTCCAGTGATTGTAATTGGTATTCTAAAAACTAGTGATTAAAAATTGAAATAATCTCAAAAAAAATTATTATTATCTTGACAGCTCAAGATAGTTATAAAACTGAGTTGTAAAACTGTATAGAAAGTTGTTAGTCCAGATGTGGCAACCATTTGAAACTAACTTATGTTAGCTAATCTATACACTTATTTGTGTTGATTTTTTCTCATTGAAGAAACAAAATTTAATTTTGAATTATGCTTTGGTTTCTATAGAGCTGATCTCTATTCAGATGTGAATTAATCATACTCTAGATTTTAAATATTTATTTTCTCTGCATATACTATTGATTTAATGATTGTAAAAAACAACTATTTCTTTGGAAAAATGATGCTATGTGTATTTCTGATCTAACAATGCACCTTTATGTATGAACATATTTAATTTGTTTTACTGGGAAAAGCCACAGGTATTGAAAGCCTGGAACTTTTCACTTTCCTCACTCAGACTTGGATATTCTATTGAGATTATGAGTATAATTTTAACAGTGATAGCAACAATAATGATAAAATGCTTACATAGTGCTTCATATGGGCCAAGCACTATACTGAAGTGCTCTTCATAAGTGACCTGATTTAATCTCAAAGTTCATTATTATTTCCATTATACAGACAAGGAAACTGATTTACTAATTTAGATACATGGTAAATGGCAAATCTGGGACTTCATCATCTTAAGTACATTAAAATACTGTTGGAAACTCCATCATTGTACTGTACCACATCATATCTGTAATAATACTATTGTCTCTCTGGGCTGTGAATTCCTGGAATTAGAGATGGTCTTATTAATTTTTATATCCCCAATACCTAGAACAGTGTCTGGTACATGGCAAATAGTATGAAGGTTATTGGTATTTCATTGGATACAGGAATACCTTTTACCACTTTAAAAAAAATAAGTAATTATTCCAATCTCCAGTTCACTTAGGCTCTTGTTTGCCATGCTACCTTGTTATGCACTTAATCTTGGCTCACACTTTCTGTGCTATTTTTGTGGGTGAATTCATTTTTCCTCCCCTTAAAATTATGGAGTCCTAAGTACTTCCTTCAACAATGTTAGTCTGTTCTTGACACCAATAGTCAACAAAGCTCCAGTAATATGGATTATAATGAGAAATTGATCCAGGATGGAAGTTCCTCTTTTTCTGTTTGGTGTTATAAGAAAATAAAGGTATTGGTCTAGAAATGAGAGTTCTTTAATCTAATTAATTATTCACTTTTTAAGTTAAACATCAAATCTTCTAATTGCAGTTAACTCTTCCAAAATATGTAGACTTAAAAATAGCATGCTCCTCCTTTCAAGAAGGCTTTCTGGGTTAAATGTGGTCTTTCCCTTGAATCTTCATAGTATTTTGTTTCTCAACTTTTATTTTCATTATTTATGCTCTTACAATATCTCCACTATTGTTTTGGGCAGGAATTTAAATAAACATTCAGTACTATGACGTATTAGAAGTCTCAAATACTCTCAGAGCTGGAACAGAACTTAGAAATGGGTTAAGCAAATCATATCGTTTGTTTCCCTTAATATCAAGTTCAATGTCTTATTAACTAACACAATATAACACAAATAGAGTTGGCTTTATTTCTTTGATACCATATTTGCACAGATGTTGATGAATTAGACCTTGAAACAGACATCACCAACCACCATTACCTTATAAATTTCTTGAAAGTAAAGTTTATATCTTATTTATTGACATACAGTCAGCACTTAATATGGTAGTTGGTGCATAATAGTTAGCACTGAAAGATAGGTGGATGGGTGGATGAATATCAGAGAAGTAAAATTAATATTTTATAAGGTGTATATTAATGTCTTTTAATCACATGGAGGTATTGCCAGTCAATAGGCTAATGACCACTGAAATTAATTTTCTCACCCAAGTTAGTAATAACAGTCATAACAATGATTATTAAAAATAAAAAGCAATGAAAAAAGTAAAAACAGTGTGTTTTCAACTATCTGTACCACAAATTATACTTCCAATTGAATGCTGTCCTTCGAACATAGGAAAGCAGGCTCCTTATTTAGTCCTATTCTGCTGCCTGTGCTCACAACATTTTTGCAGCTTCCTTGAAAGAGAGATCACTCTCTCAGACACACACTTGGATACTTGTTAAAAGTCATTCACATTACTTTGTAGTTACATGCTCATATTTCATTAAGGTGAAAAGATGACATCTGGAAAAACAGAGATGACAGTGGTAAAAATATTAACTTTCTTGAACTAATGAGATAATATGGTGATCAGCTGGGGATTTGATGGCAAAACAAGAGTTTCAAAATATTTCTTAGAGTCTTTAGCCACAGAACAATGATAAAATATGCCAATTACAAGACCAGATCTTGTCTGCATTTCACTGTGGAAGACTGTGTTTTCAAAGGACTAATTTTTAACTGTTGTATTCTTTGATTTATGTTCCATAATATTTAAGTAGGTGGCTAGATGGAAGAGTTGGAGCATGCCTCGAACACTTGACTATCATTTTGAAGCTTCTCGCATGAACTGTATTTTAAAGCAAGTACCATTATCCTGTGTACCTTCATAACAAGGACATTTTGACATTTTCCTAATAAATTATTGATAAGTGTGTGGAGAGATATAAAGAGCTATGTCACTGCTATTATCTAACATTAAGTATCTTGCAGTTCATTTTTGTTAGTATTATTTCTGTTATTTCTTTAGATCATTTAAACTGGAAATTCTTTATATTCATTAGAATTTATATCTAATAGGATCATTGGGCTTATGAGGCTTCCATGGAAAGTATTAATTATCAAAGAGGAATTCAGATTTATTTATATGAAGTTTTAATTTTCTTTACCATAACTTCTTTAGAAACCTCTCTCCTTCTCATCCCAGCCTAGGGATTATATCAAGAGATTAAAAAACGTAATTTCTCATTTTGATTGTTGAAATCCTGGGATCATGGTTATTCTGTCAGTTATACTACAGTAGTATATGTCACAGTTACTATTATAATTGTGACAATTGTTAGCAACTTTCCTTCTAGAGCCTTTTTTTCTTTTTCTTTTTTTTCTCTTAAGCACATTTTGAGAGTATTTTTAAAGAACCACCCCCATTCCCTTGTTGAAAACCATATTCTACTGTATAGTTGGAACCGTTCTCAGCCTCTACTTGGGTTTTATCACCATAGCTTTCCAGGTCCTAGGGATTTAAATCACGTTTGTTTATCCTTATTTATTCTGATATCCTCTTTTTACCCCTACTGAACAGTTGCCTAACTTGTTCAACACTGTATTTCTTTGTCTTTGTTTATGAATCTGCTTTCCCTTACTTTAAAATTTTTTCTACTCTTTTTTTTTGTTTTACCAAGATCCTGAGAATTCTTAAGAAATGTAGGGAAAAAATAAAATCTTCTAGGGATTTAGCGTAGATAGGAATTGATCTAATTAATATATGCAACTTTTTAAAATTGAACTGTAGTGGATTTACAATGTCATATTAATTTTGGTGTACAACATAATGTTTCATTTATACATATATATATATATATTTCCTTTTCATATTCTTTTTCATTATAGACCATTACAAGGTATTGAATATAATTCTCTGTGCTATACAGTAGGACCTTGTTGTTTATTTTATATATAGTGGTTAGTATCTATGAGTCCTGAACTCCCAATTTATCCTTCCCCATCCTCTTTCCCTCCTGGTAACCATGTTTGTTTTCTGTGTCTGTGAGTTTGTCTCTGTTTTGTAAATTTGTATCCTTTTTGTTTTTTTAGACTCCACATGTAAGTAATATATGGTATTTTTCTTTGTCTTTCTGTGTTACTTCACTTACTTAGGTTTATTTATT